AGTGTCTCTCCAAATCAAGCTATGTTGATATTATGTATGCTGTGTGTGTGAAAATCTGGTGGTCAGCGAGATGCGTTTTTAAAAAGCCAAAACAACCTCCCCTGCCCCCAAACAACTAACCACCCAAAAAAGCAAAAACCCAAACAACAACAAAAAAAAAATCCCCTAACCCAGAAAGCAAACCTCCCCAAATGCCTCAAACTCCATGTAAGTAATGTTTTAAAGATACAGGATAAACGCTCAGAATTGCTCAGGTTGGCAGAAGCAGTTATAACACCTAAGGGCGCTTTAAACATCCTGTGAAGGGAAAATGCTGTTTTATTGTTTAGTGACTGTTCTGTGTATGAATATTTTTTAAAGTGATGAAGTTTATTTCACTGGGTGATTGAATAGACTCATTTGAGAGATTCTTAAATTTTTTAGATAGATATCTCGCCTGCACTTCAAGTCATGTGTTCATGAGAAGGACTCTTTGCAAAAGCAATAGCTTATAGTGAAATTATGTGATACTTTACATTTCAGAATGGGAATTTCTTAAATGCATGCTGCAAAATCGCAGTGTGTTTAGATAGTTAAACTGTCTCCTGCAAAACTTGAATGCCTGCAGTCTTCCTGACAGTAATTAGGTGACTGATGTTACTTAGATTAACTTTTAGAAAGTTCAGCCTTGGTTCTGTAGAGTTTTGGTCTGTTTAACAATGTTAGTTAGTGATAAACACAGTTAAATTACTACCAATGTAATATCCTAGCGTTTTGGAATAGAGAGACTTCAGTGTTTCTTAAAGCATGGTTAATATCACAGAGCTCGTTTGGAATTGCTTTACTGTTTTACTTTACTGAATGCTTCAATTTTACTTTAGAAAGAAAAATTAGAACTTGAGGTTTCCTTTCAGAACATACAGGCCCTGTGTTATGAGCACACTCAGATTTTGCAGTGGCTGCAATGGTACTATGGTATGTTCATCATTTGTCCTCTGAGGTCCCTTAAACAGAGTTATGATGTCAGACAAGTGTTTTACATGATTCTGTTGGAGCTGCTATGATGTCAGTGGGATAAGCAAAAGGGTCCTGCAGATAATTCATCTAGATGCCTTAAATTCTCTACAGGGTATGAAGCATAATGGTTCCCTTGACACTAAATTACGTCCAGATAAATCAGTCCAGCTGAAACTTGAAAGGTGCTGCTGCTTCCTTTCTTTTTTTTTTTTTTGTTGTTGTTAATAAATTGCCTTGTATTTGGTGAATTGGCTTACTTCAGTTTTAGAGTTACATAGCTCACTTTTAACCTTTCATTCTTCATTACAATGTATACATTCTGTAAAAAGTAAAATAAAGATTGCAGATACTCATCATTAATCAAAGGTGAATGTTTTGGATGTGGAATGGCTTTAAAAAAGTGGGTTTTTCACACGTATGAAAAGGGAAGGCAAAGCGTAAACCAAGCCATGCTGCCCAAGGCCATACTGCAAGACGCCTCAGCTGGCAATAGTCTTGGCTTGCATTTTTCAAGTATTCTCTCTGTTGGATCTCTGTCTGCCTTAAGTACATTTGCAAAATGCGTCGTGAAAAAAAGTTGATGCGCAGGAAGGGGTGTCTGTACTGCTGTGCTCCCGTTAACCAGGCTGTTCTCTGAAAGGTTTTACTGGTGTTGGAAAAATCCATTAGAAGTAAAAAAAAAAAAAAAAAATAGGGAAAGTGTGTTGTTCGTGATTGTTGAACATACAGATTTTTGCCATAGCTTTCTATTAATAAAAATGAGAATTTAGACACTGTATGGCTCTTCTTCCTCAAAGGAAAGATTATTAGTGCTTTTGTAGCTGAAGTTTAATAAATAGTTTTTAAACATGTTTTGAGGAAGAGCACAGGTATCATCTTCACATTTTCCTTAGATAGAGCTTATAATAGCTTTATGAGGTTTCAATCAGTGTATTTATGATGAGGTTACACAAACCTAAAGCAACTGATGGGTAATTTAGAACTTTGATGTAAAAACTATTCTTTGGGAAGCTGTTGGTAATGCACTGCCAACAAATCACATTCTCTGTAATGGCAGCTCTTCGCAGAGGGAGGGACAGTGTTTCATGTCGTTACCATAACATTATTTAAACATAATCAATCTTAAATCTTTTGCTATTTTAGAATAGCAAAAAAGGTTTCTATGTCCCCGTCTTCTTTGTTCCCTGTCTGAAGGTACATCAGAATTTTCAAAGTGGAATTTTGATTCTGGAGAAAATAAATTCGCTTGACAACTACCTTAAATTTTTTTTTTGATTCATTTCACTAGTGAGACTGAGACTCCTAGTAGTTAGAGGAATCTTCATTGTGGTAGCTTTGCTTTGCAGCAGTCAAGCTGATTTAAGTAATTCCTGGCTGCTTATTCTGACCCTTGTGGTACAGTTTGCTTCCCCCCTTCACCCAGAAGACTGTTGCAACTTTAGGCCAGGGGAGGAGGTGAGGGGAGCTGTATCTGTAACTGGGTTAAAAATACAATCCAGGGTAAAAATAACCTTAAAATTGTTGGGTGTTTTTAAACCACTTGATTAAAATAATTCATGCTCTTGCTCTGCTTTTTTTTTCCTGTTAAGAAAAAGTATAATATCTATAGATGTATCAGATAAATGAAAGAGAAATTAAGTAAACAATAATTACAGAAAGTAATTATCTTTGTTGTACGAGGTAGTACATGTAGTTGGTGTATGTGTTATATTCCTCCCCTTTAGACTCCTCCTAAAACACAGTTGACTTTTACCTGTAAAATAGTCTAAGAGCACTCATTTTGAATTTTACAGGCTCTGAAACTGCTGTAACCAGGGTGTATGGGACTAGGATTGCAGCATCTAAATTGAATTGCTAAGAATTCTGTAAAATAACAAGTCGTCTCTAAAAATTAATCCTTTTTTTCTTTCAAAACTGTAGGCTTTAGTTGTATCTAAACAAGTTTATTAGGTGAGAATCTGTTAAGTATGGAACTTCTACATTTTAATACCATGTCCCTTTAGAATAACTAGCAAAGCAGCACCAATTGTAATGCTGTTTGTGGAGCGACTTTTTTTTCAGGCTATTAATTCCTTTTAATATATGTTAGCGTTGGCAGCCTGTTTGAACCGTTTGTACAGTTTGTGTATATAATGTATCAGATTAAATGCTTTTGAAGGCACTTGGGTTACAACAGTTACAGTTCTACCAAAGTGGTGTTTAGAGAAAACACAGATATGCATTGAAATAGACCTTTTACTATACTAGACTTTCAAAACAGGGGCAAGTAATTAGTCTCCACTGCACTAGGGAAGAACAAGCAGTTATAATGTGTGTAGCTGTTGCTGCTGGTTATACAGCGAGTTTTACTTGAAATACTGATTTAATTAAAATATCCTGCCTTCATTCCACCAAGTACATATATTTTCAGTTTCAGGAAACTGATAGCTCTTCAAAAATAAAGACCTTACGAAAATAGTGCATCATCTTCTCCAATGCTGTTTTCAAAAAAAGGTGGTACATTCACGATCCCTTGAAATCCTTGATTATATTAAGGCATATAATAAGGGCATTTAGAGTTTAAATAGTCATAATGTATTAGTCCTCCTCTTTAAAAATGTGCTTTATGTGGTGGTACAGTGTTTAGGAAATAATTGAGTCATCCGTTACATTTACCGCCTCTCACAATTCAACACCCCCTACCACCCCAAAAAAATCATAATGCCTAAACTTCTGTTTAGTTGCTTGTAAAAGCAGGGTTTAATTACACTTGTGAACAGTGTATTTTGACAATTAATGAGTAAAAACAGTCCTCATTATATTTTATTGTACTTAAAACACTGTTAGTTAGGTTGGAATCTGGCCAGTAGAGGTTCTCTGTAAACTCTGGCTGATGTGTTTCTCTTGATGTAACAGTACCGGCTTGTTGTTTCGGGGCACTAAGCTTTGTTTAAAAAACAATAGATGAACTAGTGCTTTAATCTTCCAAATGTGGAGCAGAAAGACAACTTGTACCTTAGTATCTGCACAAACACTGTAAATTGTGCTGTAGTCAGGCGTGTTGGTCAGTCTGTCTTGACCTTGTTTACATGTTGATTCATACCACTGTCGTGGTTGATACTAAGCTGAGCTTTGAATTTTGGGATCAGAAACAGCAGCATATTATGTTAGTATGTGTGTTCTACTTCAATGTTATGAATTTCTTTTCTCAAGAAATTAGCATTATATTGAAAATAATGCTTTTCTGGGTTGTTTAAAATGACCTGACTTTAAATGGCCATTTTGCTGTGATGGAGGTGACGTTTAGCTGTCTGCTGCCTTAGAATGGTGTGGGCATTACTCTAATTAGATAATGAATATGATACTTAAAAATTGCTTCCCATCTTACATCTGTCAGTTTTTGACAAAGGAATCTGTTTTGGGTGTTGTCAACATCCTCTGTCTCAGCTTCCAATATCCAAGACAAAAGTCCTGCAGTTGTCTCTTTGTGAGACCTTCCACATGTTGCAGCTAGGAGAATGTACTGCAGTGAGTAGGTCTTCATCTGGAGTTCTTCCTTTTTTTTTTTTTTCCTTCCTTCTCCTGGTTTGCTTGAGTGGTGTAACTGTCTGGTTAAATGCAAGCTCTCCTTCTTTTCAAGTAAAAGAAAGTACAAAGAAAGATAGAAGTTCTTCATGTTTTCTAAACTAGGCAGTCGATGGTAAGTTTGCAGAAAGGAGATGGGCAAAAGATACAAAATACAGCTTTGTCCTGTATCTGAAGTGTTTGGTAGTCTGTGTACCAATGCCTGCGCCAAAACAAACTCCTTATTGACTAGTTATTAATGTATTAACTGTGCATAGCAAGTTTAATAGATTTTTATATATTCAATATATATTTTTATATATATTTGAAATGGGCTGCTTCTATGCTTTAAGGAAGAGAAGAAATCTAATGACTGTACTTTAGCATTAATTCAAATATTGTGTTGTAGTTCTGCAGATAAGCATTCTTAAATGACATCTATTTGCAACTTTTTTTTAAAGAATAATATTCAAGCATCAGAAGTTCTTAAAACTGAAGTTGACGATTTGAAGAAGAAGCATGATGAGGCTGCTTCGAAAGTTCTCCAGCTTGAAGAAGATATCATGACTGTTACTCAGAAAGCAATTGCAAAAGAAACTGAGTTAGACAGGTAATTAGTAATTTTGTTTCTTACCTTCCTTATTTTACTGTTAGTTTCCATAGGTGTTTTAAACTAACCATTTTTACTGTATGAATAGATTTTCTGTATTAATAGTGCTGTACTGTTAATTTGTCATTGTCTTAGTCTGAAGGACAAACTGAAGAAGGTGATGCTTGAGAAGGAGCAACTTGAATGTGTGTTAAAGACAGAAAAGGATGAAAAAGAACTTTATAAGGTAACTTTTATTCTTTGTACCTGTATACACTGAAATGAAGTAGTCTGAAATAAAGGTCCTAATGTTTTATGAAGAAGGCTGATAAACAATTTGTTAAGGAAAACAGGAAATGGGCAACTTCTGTGTACAGATTTTTAAGATAGTTAGAGATGTTCTTATATAAAAATGAATGAGCAAAATAGCATCAGAATTCATCCTGTGGTATAAAAAGGTCTCTAAGAAGGAGAATGGATCACCAGCTTGTTAAAATGCAGGCATAGTAACAAAAAATAATAGATGCTACTGAGGAAGTTCTGTAGTTATGCAGTGCATCAACTGGTTTTCTTAACGCACTCATAAGTAAATTGCTTTTCACTCTTCTAAGTTCTCTCTCCAGACTCTGTTTTTTACATTCCTATTCTTGAATCTTGTGCATAACTCTGAAAAGCTTTAGTAGGATCTATATGGCATTGATTTTTTACCAGCATAGCTGATTTCTTTTGCTGGTATTGAGACACCCCTATGTAAAATAAAAAAAAGGGGCGGGGGGGAAGTCTGGTATGCTGAAACTACCAAATACGTAGATAGTATGAAACAAATCAAATGTATTTAAAAGACTGTTTCTGTTCGTAGGAAAATGTCTTTATGTGGCAGATAGTACTGGATATACACCAGAAGTCACAAAAGCTCAAAGTATCTGTCACAAGCATGGAATCCCTTTGTAAATAAGCAACACAAATCTTCTAGTCTTTGAGTGGACAACACTTGAGTGCAACAATGACCCTTTATTACGTGTAATATGATAGACAATATAAAAACTGCTGTCGACCTGTTAGTTTGCTGTCTCTGGAAATGGATATTGCTGATGTAGTCCTGTGATTAGATGTTTGCAAGTAGATACTACTAGAAGTTTAGTTTCTCTTTAGTTTTCTTCAAGTCATTTCTCTTACGCTTGTCCTTGGTTCTCCAGCATTTGTAAAGAGAGCAGTGAATTCTGAATAGCTTAATTTGATGTGGAGGGGAATCAGGGCCTTACCTTCTAGCTGCAGAGTGGAGCTCTTGTTAGATGATCAAGCTGAAAGAGTGCCAGCCAGAAAATTTGTGCTGGAGGGAAGTGATATTATCAAATGTTTAGTTTTTCTCTTTACCTGTTCTCATCTGTCTTGGAGAAGCGTGAGTATTCAGTGAACACTTAAATGGACAGGTGAACGGTAGTTTTCATAATGTGGAAGAAGAGCTTGACATTTTTTAGCATCATTACAGATACACTTGAAGAATACAGAAATAGAAAACACCAAACTAGTAAAAGAAATCCAGACGTTTAAGAATTTGGATGCAAACAAAGAAAACATGATATCGTATTATAAAGAGGAGGTTGGCAGATTACAGCTATATATAGCTGAAAAAGAAAATATGAAGAAAGCTTTTTTGCTCTCCTCATCAAACAAGGTAAGCATTACTAATATAATTGGCCTGGTTTAAAATAAACACATCTAAGGTTGTATGTATTTGACAAGAGAAAGGAAGGAGTTGCAGATATCATCAGGGTATAGGCTGGGAGGCAAGAGGATTATGGTGTTCTCACGAGATGCAGAAAATGAGCAAAAGGGTGAATTCAGTTTTAGTTTTCACGTTCTGAGCTTCTGAGGTGTCTCACATGGTGAATTGGGAGAAGAACTACGTGTGAAAATCAACTTGTGAGTTCAGTAGAAGTGCACCAGTGAAAGTGGTGCACTCCTCTGAGTTGCTTTTCACTTCCTGAAAAAGGAAGGAGACTGAGGAGAAGAGCAAAGTTAAAAATGTGGGTACCTTGAGACTGCAGAGGGTGACGGAGCAGAAAAGAGCACATCTTTCAAAGTCTGCTCAAGGATTTGTTAGGTGAATGTAATGTCAAGGTGCAATGGTGTATCTGCCCCTTCCTCAGGTTTTACCATATAAATGAACTAAATTCACTGAGAACTCAGCAGCAAGAGTGCCAGTAGGACTTGTAAGGAAGAGGTGATTTTTGCTATGCAGTGTGGTGGCATTGTGGTTAGCAAGCGGTGTGGTGTAGTAGGAGAGTAAAAGTGCTGAAGAACTGGTACTTCTGCTGTCCGTGGTCCAGGTGGGGTTACTTCAGACTAGTTTTACTGTGGTGCTATGGATAGAATACCCATTAGGTGTTTGTTCCCGATATACATCCCCCTGTTTCATTCCACCCAAAAGGAATGCAGTTTCTGTGCCCCGAGACTGTTCTGTCCTGTGATCTGCAGTGTGATAGGTAATAGTGGAATTGACTGGGAGTTTTGCTTCATAAATACGCTCTTGATCCAAACTAGAGAGTGAATTTAGACACAGCCTTTGAGGCCAGCAAGGGAAAGTCAGATTATGCAGGTGACTATCTAGTGTGTCTTGCCAGTCTTCTCATAGAAAAAGCAACGTAGGCCTCGAAAGAATAGAAATTGCATTTATGTGAGTTATGAATGTAAAATTTAAGTAGAGAATTAGTGCTGTTGAGAATGGAAATAGCAAGAGGACAAAAAAAAATGCCATTTTGCTTTAAGTTACAGCTGATCTTGGTTTAGTCCTGTGACTGCTCTGCAGCTTTGTTTCTCAGTGTGTTGAACTACTTGTGCCTTGTACTTTGGAAGTGAAAACGTGCAGGGGGGGTGTGTGTGTGCGTGCCAGCACTGAATCAACCAAACATTTATGTCATTTATTAACCTTGAAGTGCTTGTGAGGTTTCTGGTGGAATTATTAACTTTTTTGTCTTATGCTGTGAAACTGACGCATCACAGAGCTGTTAAAAATAGCTAAGGGACAGGACTTTAGGGCATTTCCTAGTCCATCTATCTTCATAAATGTTTACAAAATATGCTAGTATTCTTCTGGACTTGCTATGTCAGTGATTATTCAAAAAATTAACAAATAATGGACTAGAGAGACCTGAATTTATGTCTAGACTCAAGAATATGAGATAATTATGCCTTCAGGAAGCCCAGAGGCTGCGAGTAGCTTGTAGTAGCTTTGATTTTTGGTGTGCGATCCTGGGCTTTTCCAAGGAATGAGAGCCCAGTAGTGCAGCTTGGTTGGTTGGCCCTTGGGCTGCCCTATGGGGCTGCAGCAGTGCTGTGAGTCTTAGTGCTGTGTGCTGCTGCTTGCTCTTCATTCCGTTTTGTTCTCAGTTCTTTCTGAAAGGCTTGTTGTGCAAGACCTTGGGAACTGGAGCTGTGAGAAAAACATCCCCAAGCTGCTTTACGGCGTCTTACAATGCCTACAACTGGTTAACGTAAGACCCCTTACTCTGTTGTTACCTGCAGTGTCTTACTGTGGGATGAACTTTGGTTTCGAAGCTGAATGGCCATTTGTTCCTCCTAAGAGTTCTATGGTGGTAAGAACGAAGATGTTCTGGAAAACAAACATTTCTATTGGTATATATTTAAAATTAAAGCTGAAAATACAATAAAAATCCAGCATAGATAAAATAGTAATGTTTACATTGGCCTTTATGACACAGTGAAAGCTGTTTGCACGCCACCGTTAGCAGAGAAGGCAAGCAGAGAAAATGGTACTTGTGTACCAACTTCTCCATTTCGTGGTTTTGCTAAAGCCACCAGGAAAACTTGATTTTTATCTCAGATGTTTCTAATCCCTATACCAACCTATATTTAAGCTTTTAATTAAAAAATGATAGGTTCTCTTCCCTCTCTCCTCTCTCCCAGGAGGACACAAGTGTTCTAAAAGAACAGCTTCGGAAAGCTGAAGATCAGATTCAGGCGAGCAAGCAAGAAGCTGTCCTAATGTCAAAAGAGCTGAGCGACGCAGTAAACGTGCGCGATAAGACGATGGCAGATCTTCACACTGCACGCCTGGACAATGAAAAATTGAAAAAGCAGCTTGCTGATGCTTTAGCCGAGCTGAAAAAAATCACAGCTTTGAAAAATGAACAGGTAAATTGTCAGTATTTAGTCCTGAAGTTTATCTGTATTTATAAAATGTGGCATAAGTAGCTTTGCTAAAGTTGGGGAACAAAATAAGTTTTTGGATGATTAGGGCAAATTATTATCAAGTTCTACTTTGGTACTCAAAAAATACTGCCTTATGTGCACGTTAGCTGATTTGGAAGGTTGGTAAGAAAGATCTCTGCTACTACTTCCAGCACCTCCCCTCCACCCCCAGATTATTTTCACAGAATAATACAGTATTTATCTACATTTATATTATTTTGAGACCTCTTGTTTTTTTAATTCTTTTATGTGAGCCACAGGAGCACTACAAATTCATTCAGATAAGAAAACTGATACAATTTTTTAAAGTACTATTTCCTCATTGATGGATTCTCTTTGATTCATACGAGTCCTTCCAATATTTGTGGACAAAGTTAATTTGCTATAGTATTTATAAGTGCAAAAATACTCATGTAATGGAAACTGTCTTGACATTCTTCGTCCTGGATAAAAATCTAGTGAGGCGATGTGAGTTTCATCATTCTGACTTAACTGAGCTTTGTACCGGATCTTCTGTGACTGCAGCTCTGTTGGATTAATTTACTGCTAGGATTACTGTAATGATGTAGCAGTTTGAAAAAAAGTATGTTAAACTGAACAGTAATTAAAGAAGTGCAGTAAATACAGAGTGAATAGTAGAGCCCTCAAAAGAACTATTATATTTATCTGAGAATTACATGTTTTGTAAAGAATTCGTTACATACAATGCCTTTGAAATGCCTCCTGAAAGAAGTAGGCGGTCATGACTGAATGACTCGGATTACCAGAAGGTACCTGAACGCAGCGCATAGCCGTTTGTTTAGCTCGTGTATCCATGTTGCAGCCCAACTGAACCACGTCGGTAGAAGCATAGCGAGTGTGACAGTTGGGGTCTGTCCTTTTTTGCCACATGGCTACGCTGACAGATAAGAGGGTTAGAACACCACCTGGAAGGCATTCAGACTTCTGGTATATGTTAATCAGCCTGCAGAATAAGAATCCTCTTTACCTGCCTGTGGAATTATACCTGTACCTACTTGCTCCCTCGGTGTGTCCAGCTTGGCATGAAGTTCAGCACAGATGCTGCCTCTGTCTGTGCTCTACAACCCTATTCCTTTCATTCCCTCAAGGAAATAAGGAACTTCTTCTGTACTTACGTAGAGCATTATGGTTTCTTCAATTGAAAAAAGGCTTTTTGGGAAGTAGTGGCATTTGAACAAAAGGGAGAACGGTTTCTGATTTGTTCTTTAAGGAAACTTCAAGCACAGTAGAGCAGGAACTGCGCAGAGAAGTTGAAGATCTGAAGCTTCGTCTGCAAATGGCCGCTGACCATTACAAGGAAAAATTCAAAGAATGTCAAAAACTTCAAAAGCAAGTAAACAAGTTTACAGAACAGGCAGTAAGTAGAATGGGAGAAAACTGCACTTGCTTGTTTTAACTTTTAAACTATTTAATTTCCTACTGAAAAAACAGTGCTTTTAGAAAGGATTAAAACATGCAGTAAGCAATTGCTCTCTAATTTATGGTTTTCTTCCATAAAGCTAAATTACTTCTGGTTCTTTTTAGATAGTTGTGAAACTAAGTGTAGGATTTATAGTAACTGAAAGTTACCAGCATTTGTATGAACCTATAAGCATAACACTCTTCAAGGAAGAATTTTGAAACTGAAACAGGGAAAAATCCATCATTACTACCTCTATTCAGCAACACCGCCACCACCACCAAAACCCCAAACAAACCCAAACCTAAAACTGGGGGCAGTGGAGGATTTGGAGGAGGATTTCAAGGTGAAGTGGGGAGGAAGTGTCCCCAGTACATCACATAGTGGTATTCCATAGGTATTTTGGGTTCTTACCGCTAGTTCCATAAATAAACGAGGCTTTTGCAATAAGTACGTGAATCTTAACGCCACCTAGTAACTGAATATGTTAGTGAATTTCAAACAGGCTTGAGAGCAGAGTTCTTCAAGAATTCTGTGGAAATTAGTGGCGGAATTGGAGAGCAGCTGAAACGGGGAGCAGGCGTATGAGCAGTGGCAGGATGCGCAAGTGTGGATTCGTGATGAGACCAGGCTGAAGTATTTCTGCCGTCCATAGAACAAGTGGGGTAGTTACCAGCTTTGATCCACAGATTACTTAAAAATTTGTCTTCTCATCCAGAAGGTCAATGGTGAATGGGGTGTTGTATGGGAATGTGTTTGGCTTTTTCTTAAAAATCTTCTGTGGCTGTGTTGTATATCTGATAGCAAACACCAGATTTCACCACTTTGGTCCAGTTGCTTCACTACTGGAAGTCCAATGCTCGTTAGTAATACAGATTCCATTTTCTAGTGGAGTGTTAGACTTAAGTTGATGGGATTAAGTGGAACTGATTCTCTAGAAAATGAGATTTTTCTAATAATGTGTGTAGAAATTACTGTTTCTAGGGCAAGAGAAATTTATAATGCAAGATCATAGACATCGTAGACTGAGGCAATTTCAGTGTTAGTAGAATTAAATGTGTTTGCATTTTTATTATTACCTCCTGTTTTAACGTGCAATTCCATCTATCCCAGTTTTGGAGGGGATGGTAGTGCAAGATATATGTTGCTTTGGCTTTCATTTAATTAAATACCAAACCAAAATTTCTTTTCACAAAGAAAACTGCAGGGCATCACCAGAAACTGACAGATGCATCTAACATTGAGACAGCTACTGCCGTTGTTACAGACAAAAAGTTGTCTGCATCTCCAGGTATCAACAGCTTAAATTCTCTCTATTTGTATCAGCCTGAAAGTGGTGTTTATGTGAAGTAGTGCCTAATAGTATGTATAGTCTAAAGTGGACTTGTTTGGTTTTAGTTAAAGCCATGATTACAGATGTGAAAATTCATCTAAAAATCTTGTGTCTTTTTTTCAAATGTCACAAATTCCTATTGAAGTTACTCATAAATAACTTCATGTGTCTTTTCAAAACAGTTCAGCTGATATTTGTTAGTCAGTAGGACTGAACTCCTGAATTTCTGCTTGATGGTTAGCACAGGGATGTTTTCGCCAAGCTAATAAACAATTAATAAAAAAAAAATCCTCCCCAGATTTGCAAGTTGTGTACAGTAGCACGGTAATTTTGCAGTCCTGTTGGAAGGACTACCTGCCGTAGCATGCTGCTGTAAAATCAAATCCACTGGGAAGCTCTGATTATGTGATGGAAGGTCACTGTTCTTGTGATATGTAGGAAGTAGAGGTTTATTAGAAAATGTTTACCTGGGTTATAATTTTTATGAACTATTCAGCTCTTACAAAACTATTCTTTTGAAACATAAACATATAAAAGGTTAAAACTAAGCCTGGTTTATTATTCCGTTTAAACTGATAAATGCTAGTAAATGCTGACTAATTTTGGCTTTGTTACTTTAGAATTCACATGTTCTTTCTGTCTAGAGACCATAGGTTTTAATTTCTGTCAGTTTCTTCCTGTTTTAAGTAAATACACGTGTTTCCTACAACAAATAAAATCCCAGCAAGGTCAGTTACAGTATGTGATGGGATGAAATAGGTTGCTAAGGCATTTCATGTTTTTATAGGAGCATGAAATGCCTAGCATGGTAGCATAATGTATGTATTCTGGTGCTTCCTTTCTCGGGGGTTAAGGGGAAAGATGTCTGGTTGATGATGTTGTGGGGTTTGGGGTTTTTTACATAGACCTTTGTAGTATGTATGAGTACCTTTATATTCATCTTGAGTAGGGGAGAGAACTGGACGCAGACATGCCAGCATGATTGCTGATCTGCTATCACCAACCACGTGGTACTGATGGGCTCTGATTTAACTCGTTGCTTTATTTGCTGTGTTCTCCATGCACCGTCGTACTTGGCCTGGCATCTGTCTCCTGCAAACTGTACAGAACAGAAACCATCAATACTCTTGTTTTTTTTCTTCGATGTTCACAGTTAGCCCCATTTCATCTGATATAGTTTCGGAATTCATGGTAAAGGAGCAAGTACGTGAAATGAATAAAGAAATTGCTGAGAAAACAGAGAAGTATAAGAAATGCAAGCAAATGTTGGCAGTAAGTAAATGGCTGCTTCGGAAAGCTGAACAGAAAGTAGCTATAGGTGCTAAGTCTTGTAACCACGAAGCCTACCTACCTGAGTTGCCTTGCTTGTTTGTCTGATACACTGCAATTTTGGTAGGAATCTTAACGGCAGAAACCACGTTTTTACTAAGTCAGCTCTCTGTTATCTGTGGTGTTGGAGAATCTAGAGAAAGACCCCTCAGGATAACCCAGATGCAGTGAAACAAATGAACAAAAATGCTCTTAAATCTATGCTTAAAATTCTGAATACTTTTTTTCTCATTGTATTTTAAGTATAATTACTTTGTAAGTCAAATACAGCATGTTGCTATAAGCCAGCTGGTGTCTGAGTATAGCAGTGTTTGGTACGCTGCTCAAGTGTAAGAACTCCCCCCAAATCTGGCTGTCCTGGGCCTTTACAGTGTTCTGATGTCTGAGCGGGTGCTGCATATTAGCTGGGGTTAATCATACCTAAAGGTGTTTATCCGGTTCGGTGGACCACAGTTGGCACCAGCAGTGCTGTCACCGCAACAGTAATGCCCTTCAGACGTTAATACCTGTCAGTCCCAACCTGATTTTCCTTTAGCCAGTTTGGATGGATGTATGACAGCGGAGTAATGCATCAGTGATGCTGCTGGGCAGTCGACTGTTGTAGGATTGTTTGAAAAATGCTTTCTGGGTGTTGTCTTATCTCTGTTCACTTGTTGTTTGGGATTTAAAAAGATTACATTAATCAATGTTACAAAGTCAGAACAGCTAGAATTAAGATTAGAGTTAAAAACTAGGAATTTTACTCTGCTTCAGTGTGTTTTGTTCTCACAGTCGTTACGCTTTCACAAACGGCCATGAACTCAGCTTATCTTGTCTCTCATTTATCACAAGGAGGTTATTCTATATTAATGTGCTCTCCAGGGTGTGACAACTGACATGTCATTGTGCTCACTACCCTGTCTGTGGAGAGCCTGCCTTAGCTTCTGCGGGGTATTCTCTAGTGATGCTTGAGGAAAGCTTTGCCTTTGACCTTCTGGATGAAAGATACTTAGGATGTAACAGTTGCATGGGGAAAGGTTTTGTATTGAAGTGAGACACTTGAAATGGTAATCATGATTGCAGTGTAGCGTTAGGATAAAAAGAAACTTGAAACTGCAAAGCTGAAGAGGAATAGCAGCTTGTTGAAAACGCGGGCAAGAAAACATCATCTGTGGAGCATCACTTAGGCAGTGTTGAGTGGTCCTGTTCTGCTCAGAGTCTTGAGTCAGGCGTGATGCCTGTGGAAGCTATTGGTAAATGGTCTCGTTCTAAAAGTACGGAGTTAGTATCATTGTGGGGGGCGGGAGAGGAAATCCCTTAAAACTGTAGATGTTTCATGCCATGTTATAAACTACTTTAGGATGAGAAGATGAAGTGCAGTGTTTATGCTGATGAACTAGCTAAACTGGAGCTGAAGTGGAAAGAACAAGTGAAAATCAATGAAGGTATAAAACTACAGCTAGCAGCAATGGAGGATCAGTATAAAGTAAGCCACAGATTTTGTTTATGGCAGTGAATGGTATCCTGTTCTTAATGTAGTCGTGTATTTGTGATGGTTCAGATAATGAACAGCTTTAACGGAGAATAACCACTAAACGTGGGTTTTTTTCTGTAAGTAGAAAATCTGTTTTGCAGTTGTAGAAACAAGTGTTTTGTAAAGTTTCTTTTAAATTTAAGACAGACCTGCTCAGTATGTTACCAAGTGGCTATCAGTCTTTTAATGTTGTGGATTTAGACCAACCTCTAAATGACGTTTATCTTGTATTACAGGGGCAAAAAGGGATAGAGAGTTCTAATTTCCTGCTGCTTACTGTAACACTAGCAGGAGTATTGATTCCTAAGTTTGTCTAAAATCTTCATACTGCATGCTGCATTACCAGTGTAATACCATCTGATGCATTTTATCTAAATTAACTGGGAGATACAAGATGAGTGATACATTGTTGTTAAAATCATCATGAAAGAATTACTTTAATTGGGAGGATCTCAGCTGTCATCTTCATAGTGATGTAACACGTGCACCAGAAAGTCAGGCATAGTGAGCAGCTTTAGCTTACATGGGGCCTTAAGCGCTGAGGTTTTGTAATAGTAATACCTACGCTGAAGTGGCTTTTTAGGTCAATGATGGCAAGATAAGAGCGACACATTTCCCTAAGAGCAGCTTTTATGCTTGTTTTCAGTCTCGTGATAGTGTAGTTGGCAGGATACTGTCTGTGGCCCATTTTTGCTCACTGCAACGAAGGGGGATTCAACTGAACTGTTGACTGTTATCAGTTCCAGTAGGAACCCTCTCCCATTAGAAGTGACAGCACTTTTTCTTCGTAACATACTGAGTTACTGCTCGTTTCGGCACTCTGTAGGCTGTGCTGTCCTTTTTGCCACTTCAGAGCTCTAATTTCAATTTCATAAAATGCATGGCTCTTCCCAATTTTTTTAACCTTATTAACTAGCAGTAGTCAGTTGCCATGAATAATTTAATGTTACATAAGTTTGTTTTTAACCTCTTGACAGAAGGAGCAATAAATAATTGGTTCCAAAATTGAAAGCATTTTGACTACAATTCAAAACCTGTCATCATTCAGGAGGGTGTAGGCGTGGGGGCTGGTGGGGTGGGGTGGCAAGTGAGCTTTTCTTCCCAGTCAGTGGATTTCTGTGTTGAATTTCAGAATTAAAACAAACCAAAAAATTGATACATAACTTTGCAGAGCACTGAGCTTATATGCTAGAAAAACAAGTGGAGAGGCAGTCTCCAAAATAACCAGAATCCAAATAAAATAGCCCTTTGTAGAGAGAGGTTACTTAAATAATCATTTTGAAGCAAGGAGGAAACCTGAAAGAGTTGTTGGTTTCGATGAGTAGTCGTACGAGATGTTGCGTGTGATGACATTAGACAGAATGCTTCCCATCTGAAAGATGAACCTAATCACTGAACCTTGTCTCCACAGTCTGACATGCAGGGAGATGGTTTCTGTTCACTAATATAGGAAACTTAAACTTCTTTCCATTCAGGTTCAGCTGGCAGAAAAAGAGAGACAAATAAAGGAACTGGCATCGCAGTTGGAGCTCTTGACCAGTGAGAAGGTATTACCAGGATTCCTGTTAGATTTTGTAGATTTTGAGGCTCTTTGGTTTCAGGAATTGCACTTTATTTTTAAGTGAGAATTTGTTTACTCTTTAAACAAACTTTTCCATATTTGGATATTTTGCCAAAATGAATTAGCATTTTAAAGGACAAATTCTGTTAATTCTAACGTGTTTTTTAAAAAAATGTACACCATAGTACACTAACTTGCCAAAACAGACTCGGCTTTTGAAAATGTTGTTTCTTGTTCTGCAGCAGTGTACTAGAATATTTCATACGTATACCCTAACAAAAGCATTACAGTGTCAAAAATTATTTATTTGTTCCTGTCTAGAATGGCATTCCATCCAGACCTAAACCAGTTATTTCTGTTTGCAGATAGGGATTACTCTCTGTAAATTGAAATCTGCAATTGCAGCTAGCTGTAGGGTTCATAGACCATAGCAGTTCCTGCCGGTTTCTGTCCTGCATTCCTTTCTCCTCTCAGCAGCATCACTGTTTTCAGCAGACTTCCAGCCTCCTTCCTTCTTCCCTCCTTCACTTCTCTCGATCTCTGAGGTTCAGCCCCGCTGTGCCTAGAGGCCGACACCAGCTTAGTGCCTGTGCTGCTTGGCCAAACAGAAAAGGTTATTACTGAGCTCGTGCTACAGCCTTCCTCTCCTCTAAGGGAGCATCAGTTACCAAAACTTGCAGGAATTTCGTTTCTGTGAGACACAATCTCTCCCCTGCTTCCAGGAGTTACTGGCTGACAAGCAGCACAATTAGTAAACCCTTACTCCCTTTGGAAGCCTCATGTAAGACATGAGTGGTACATACCTGGTGTGACAGTGGTTTTCCATCACTGGTTAGGATTACTTTTGCTCTTATCCAGGGTTGTCCTAACTAGAGATGTGGACGTTTCAAGGGTATAACCTCCAGGTTTTTCCTGACGTGTGCATACAACCAGACCCTTTTGCCGTCTGCAGTTCTCTTATCGACTGCTTGTAGTAAGAGCAGCTTGACATGTGACACTAGTGGCTTTGGTAAACTGTCGCTGCAAAGGTGTCTTCATCAGGAAAGAAAGATACACAAACAGGACTCTGAATTTAAATATATGATAGGAAATGGACTGCTACTTCTCAAGAGTTTATTGGTTCAACAGTAACGGTAATGAATTTGATTAGACAGGCATTCTGAAATACTAATGCTAGTGTGCTAATGTTGGAAGTACCTCTAAGGTATTCTGTGACAATTAATCAAAGCTAGGTTTTACTGAAAAATGAAATAATTATTGCATTCAGGTAGTGTTATATGATACTGTTGAAAAGTTAGAATTGTTCAAATTACTTAAAAATTCCAGTGTGAACAGATACTTAGTAAACCCAGGAATTTGCATACTGATAAATGGAAATTAAACTAATTTCAGATTAAGCTATTAAGTGTTTTGTAACATTCTAGATTCTCATGTAGTTGACAATTTAAATTATCTTTTTTCCTCCTAAGATGTAATTTTTAATGGATCTCTCCTATTTTTCTAATTCACAAGAAAGCAAAAGAAAAGTTGTTTTGATGAATCTCTCTTAGCTGGAGGGAGTAATGTTAAACACCACTCATAAGGAGGACACTGTAAGGAGTAACTGTAATAATAATGTGTGAAGCTTACAAAAGCTCGGAAATTTGCCTACCAAATGCATAGATATTTACACTGCAAAGAAGAATCAAAGTGCTGTGCTAGACTGGAGTCATGATTTAAAAGCCTAAGCACAGTATAGTAAACAGCTCTTCAATTTGTACTCCATTATCAGTGTTTGTTTATAAATGTCACCAAACATAGAATGCTGAAAATGGTCACTTGCTGTCTCTTCAGACCTGTAACAGTACTTGGTTTCTGTATTTACATACTTATTTAGCCTTTGATTTTTTTTTAATTTATTTTTTTTTTAAATCATTCCCTACCCTTGCTGTCCAGCTTCTGGCTAAGGCTATTTTACGGCATGTTTTTGCAGTCACTTTGATCTGCATTCTGTTTTAATCTTGTGTGATGCTAAAACTGAAGTATTAATGCAGCTCCCTCTCATTCTAAACTGCTTCCACATTGCAGAAGAAACTGATTTAGAAAATCTTAATTTCTCTAATAATCATTCGTTCCTGCTTTGTATTGAGTAAAGATTAATTATTTAGATTTTACATGTTCACTAAAGCGTTAAGATGTAACCCCAACCATTTCAGTCGTACATGGATTAAGTCTGTCAACCTGAACTGACACTAGCAGAGTTTCACATCGTGTCTGCGGGACAATACTTTACTTGGAGGGTCTTAGGCAGGAATTGTGTTGTCCTGTATTAGCAGGTTTTTCTAACAGTAAAGTAACACGACTGTTTTTGTGGCCAGTGCTTTAAAAAGATGATGTTTGGAAGCTGCCTTACCTTTGTAGATACTACTTTTTTCTGGTTTGAAAAAGACTTTATGATGTGGCCATTAGCCCAAACCCTTCATGCCTGCAACCTGGTCATGCATTTACTGTTATCTATGTACTGTCTCGGTCTCTCTTCAGTTGAGTGGTGTTTTGTTTTCAGAGTAGTTATTGCTACTTGGTTTTGCATTATGTATTCTGGTGGTTCTGCAGAAGCTTACCTGTTTTTAAGAAAAATACACGGCATTGTTCCTTTTAGTAACTGAGTCTTTGTACTTCCCATGTAGTTAATTCGCTAATTGTAGTCTTGGGTTTAAGTTCCAATTCGAAGTCTCTTGGGGACAATGCACACTTCCATCTTGGAGGTTTTTGTTAAAATTACATTAGCAAATACTAAACGTGAACCCAGAGGCTCCAGCAGAAAATGGTAATTGGAAAGAACAAAATGATCAGAAAGCATGTATGTCTTAACAGTCTCTGGTTTTTAATGATTATTTTCATTTTCACCTCTCAGTATTTTTTGCTTAGTTCTGAATTGTTAATGGTGTATTCATGTGGATATTCTTGGCATACGTG